TATATGATTATTGCTTAAAGTCTGTCTTGCAGATTTAAGGGTCTGTCTAGAAATGTACTATAGCTAATTTGGATTAACTATCCAATAATATGGCTAATTATATAGTACAATAATTCCCTAAAGTAGAAATACAGTATTTCTACTCATTGTTAACTTGCAGCTGATGAAATAAAATACAATAGCTTATTGAAAGAAGGCAACTGCTTCATCAATTAATGACTGGCATGGGAGAGAATGGAATTTTATCTCATACTTCAAATTAAAAAAGTAGAAATCTGCAACTAACAGACCATAAATGAATATGTTTATTAAAATGCAGACTTTAGCCACAAATTTCCTTTCCTCTATCATAAAATGCATTGATCTTGACGTATTTGTTTTGAATTTACTTTAAAACTTTGGCTTTTTTCCCTTGAACTGTATCTTGTTCTCAGTTTCAATATTCTGATTTGGGAGGCGTACTTGTGTTGTAACAGCTTCTTTAATCTGTCCATGTTTTAAAATATTTTTTATGATTTAACAAACCGAGCTTCACATGGAGCTCTCCAAGGTGCTAATCTTGATTTCCCTTTAAGATTGTTTTGCTGAGATCTGAACCTTGCTTCGCAGCTTCCACTTGGCAGAGGTGTGCTGTCTGTTATTTTTGAAATGTGTGAGTACAAGCTTCTTTCTTTGACACTTAAGGACTTATGATAGGTTCAGTTTCTTTCCTGGATGACAGAAAAGCTGCTGAAGCATAGAAGTTTCTTCTCCACAGATTTGTTGATTCAGCACCTACCCACTGAAGTTGCAGGGCAGCCTTTCTCAACTTGATTTACTCCAGATATATTAAGATTTCAACTCTCAAAACAATCCAGTTTGGAAATTCTGCAGGGCAACAACTCAAGGAAGACTGCTTTGCCTGCAAACTGGGATTGTTGGCCACAAACATATTTGATTTTCTATAGAAAGTTTCACTGACGCAACTAGGTAATAATCTCAGATTCTTAATTTGTTTCAGCCAACAACAGAGGCAAGAAGCAATACAAAAAGTTGGTTCTTGACTTCATGCTGACCCTTGCTGAATCAATTCAAGAACCAGTGCTTCCTCCCACAGTGCTTTTCACCCACAGCTGGTTCTGCCAGAGAATATAAAGCTATTACATCCGATCTGATAAGAAATACATTTGTTGAGTTTTTGATGAAAGCATGAACATTAATATATGAGTTATTCCCGCCCACGCTTGGAACATTTTGACCCGCAATCATTCTTTTGATAAACCTACAGTGAGGGGAAAGACTCAATCCAATTATTGCTTAAGTACGTGTTGCCTTGGAAACCTGTATGGAGGACAGGTGGGATATAAATGTTTAAAAACAACTAAATGAAATGAATTAGCATGATGTCATTATTGCCAACACTGCTAAGCTTGCCTTCAAAGTTCTCTGTAGCCTTGCCTCACCCAATCTTTCTGATTTTATTTCCTAAATTTATATCTACCAGCGTTATTTTTTATCTAAGGTTCTATGCTGCCCCTTCCAAAAAAAAAAAACCTTTCCATTTTTGTATTTAGTATTGTTCTGTAGCCATAATGTAAGATCCAAAGCAGCAAACCTTCAAAAACCAAAAAATACAAGCTCTACCGAAGATAGTAGAAATCTCCTAAGTAAGGAGAAAGCTTTTCCAATCCATTCTGTAAAGATGATGGGATATTTTATTTAGACCAGACCTAATATTTTCATCTTCCCCTTTATATCCAGCTTAATTAATTTAAAACCATGTTAAAAACTGCTATAGCATCCAGTTCTGTTTCTTATTCCTTTTCACATACAACTCTAAATGCACAATCAGATTCACTTACTGTGGGGTGCTGGGTTGTTGGCACTACAGGATAATGTTCAAAACCGGAAACATCTCCCAAACAAAATTAATTCCAGCTTCCTGTTCTCTTATGCAACTCTATGTTCTCCTAGTGCTTATTGAACAAATTGTTCACATGGTACCACTTCTGTTTGCTCTGCTCAGAACCTGTCTCTTAAATGAATTGTTTTGCACAAGAAATGAGGTTACCAAATCTCTCAGGATTCAGACCATTAAAGTATTTATGAATTTGGGTTGAAGTCATGCTATGATCCCCAACATCTGGAAACTTTGCCATCCACTTAAATGGAGAGGGTTGTCAGTAAAGAGATGTTTCTTGGGGACTTTCGTTGAGCTGTTCTTATGGCATATATCTAGCATTATTATTTTTTTCCAATTCTACATACCCAATTGCTACTGCTACACTGTCGCAACAATGTCAGAATAAAGCATAAAACTAGAGATGCTCTGTATCAAAGGTCAGGATCAAACCACACTGATTTCAGGTTTTCACTTTATTCTGCAAAGAAATAATTTGCCCTCCTAGGGTTGCTAATGCAAGATTTGGCTGACATAAAACATTCAGGCTTAGCTCCTTCTAGAAGACAGGAAGGCACCTCTCAAATTCATTTCCACTATTCTCCTCTAGTTAAATTATTTATGATTCACACATTTCCAAACGACATGGCTGAATTAGGCTATGCCACCTGTCTAAGGAGGAATTAAACTAGGAAACCATATTGTGTTACATCGTTGAGAATGGCATCACAAATACCAAGCAGCAGGAAAGAAAGTGAAACTGAACTGAAAATATTGGTTACAGGAGCAATAAATTGATAGGTTAACGTGAAGATCTCTGTGTCATCTGAAAGGCCACTGTAGAAAAAAAAATATTCTGGCAATACGAGTTAATTAGGCCCTGAGGAAGAAGCTTTCTAAACCTAAAGCATAGCAATAAAAAAGTCAAGGAACAAACATTGCAGAATAAACTCATTATAGGGAAGTATCCAGGAGAGGAAAAAAAGAAAATCAAGGTTTTAAAAGCATTGTTCCTCAATTTTCTCCAAATTTGAGAGGCTGAAAAGAACAGGACATACATTTTAACACTGCTTGAGGCCATAAGAAATTTGTTTAGAGCCTAGCAACAAATAATTCAATAAAGCTGTTCAAACGCTACCTAAACTGCATTTTGCAGATGGAGCACTATCCTGTTCATCAGCCGTCCTCAGATTGTGTGATCTCCAGATATGATGTGTTAGTCCCTAGGATCATCAGATTTGTAGTCTAGACACATCTGGTAAGCATTTTTCAGGCCTTCTGTTTTCTCCTTCTCTCCAGTACTTTTCTTTCACATTTTGGTTTGCTCCTAGTATTACCTGTTTCGTGGCTTTCTAATTTTTTCTCTCTAAGAAACCAACATAATTTGACACCAAATTAATGTGTTACAACTTCTAGATGGATTTTACAATTTCTTGAAATTTCACTGCATCCCAGATTTTGCACTCTGGCCATCTGAATTCAGATAAACCAGAAAAAAAGGATGAAAACTATTTGTTTATTAGTCCCATTTATACAGCTGCCCATTTCAATAAGTGATTGCACAGCGTACAACTACAGTAGTGGCCAAAATTGTGGAAAACTTTTGGGAAAAGTGTATTTTCTAAAACTAGCTAATAACACCACTTTTTTTGAGTAGTACCATAAAATTATATATCAATGGAAAGATAATTTAATCAAAAATGTAATGCAATAACTTTTTTGAAGGATTTGCTATTAAAATAGCAGTTACAGTATAAAGAAGAAAAGTGACACACATAGAAAAAATGAGATATACAAAAATTATCACCATAGAAAAAATGAGATATACAAAAATTATCACGTCAGTTAATACTTAGTTGGGTAACCTTTAGCATGAATTACGACCTTACAATGTCTTCCCATGGAGTGAACCAAGTCTTTTAGTTCTGCAACTGTTATAATGTGAAACCAAGATTGAATGATTGCTTCTATTAACTGGGTTTTATTGCTGGGTTGCTTCTGACTAACAAGTTTCTTTAGTCAGCTCCATAGATTTTCAATTGGGTTAAGGTCTGGGCTATTCCCAGGCCATTCCAGCAGTGGAATATGATTATCTTGAAACTCCAAAAAAAAAAAAAAAAGAGGGGGGGTATTATTAGCCATCAAACCTCAAAAATACACTTTTCCCAAAAGGTTTCCACAATTTTGGCCACTACTGTATATTGTTGTATATTTTCCAGAATCATTTTGAAGATATATTCAATGTTTTCACTTGATCTGTTCTATCTTCTTTTGAAGGGACTAAATATTATGCCAAGAAAATTGTTTGAAGATAACTAGAACTGGTTGAATTTTCTGAAAATGGATCCAAATCATTTTGTCTTTCAACTTCTTTAAAAGTGTTGTGGCATTTTGAACTCTTGCCAAGTTCCCACATCGTGCTGTAATATAGCTTGTCTGGCCATTATGATTTATGCTTTAGCAAAGCGCATGAAGCAAGACCCTTGGGATTGTTCAAACTTGGTTTAGGGCAAAACATGAAAGGAAACAAGGAAAATGCTGTCCAAAAAGAAAGCTGCAAAGGATGGACAAAGAGCTGTGCAACACAAAATACATTATAGTAATTACCGCAACAACATATCTTTTACCAGATCTTGGATATTTCCCTCTTCCTTTATGCATCTATTTCCAACTTTTAGGAATTAGTATGTTTATTTCTACTTGGAAACCGCTTCTGGACTTTGTGCTTGAGGTGGGAAAAAATGAAACTTTGATTTTGGGTTTTACTGATTAGATAGGTTTGTTGTTATAGAAATGGTTAGTTTATTATACTATTTTGTAAAAGTAAAAAGTTGAGGTTTAATCTTACTGTCTTATTCTACTGCACCAGAGGGACTTGGAAGTCAATGCCTTTTTTTCTTTTTTTCCTTCTTCTCCACACTTCTCCCTTCCTTTTTTCCTCCCTTATTTTTCCTACTATCTGTGTTTGTATTTTTGTATTTTATATTATAAACCAATTTTTTTAAAAAAAAAACAAGAGCCCTGTCTACCAATCTGCTCCTGAATACTGCACAGTTCAATCCCCTCAAACAGCTTCAAATCCTTGAAAGGCTATTTTTATGTTCTCCATTTACCAGCCTACCTGTTAGGATCTTCAGAGTTCTTCTCTAAGTCCACTTCGCTCTAAAAGGGAGGACAAGATGTACAGTTCCTAGAAAAGTCTCCTGGTGCAAAACTAAGCAAGACCTTTTCGGTTGCCTGAGTCTTTTAAAACTATGGCCTGTTGCTTTTTATCTCTTAACATTTCCTAAATTCGCTTTTTGCTATTATTCCCATTTTATCTGATTGTTTAATCGTGGGCATTATATACTTTTTAAAGCTGTATGCCATAGTTTTAATACCTTTATTTTTTGTATGCATCTATGAGAATCTGTTTAAAAATCAGAAGAACAGGAAAATATGCTTAAATAAAGGTCTGTCATAATTCAATCTGCAACAACTTCAGTTTATAACCCAAGTGGCACAGAGACGTCACCCCTTCCCTAGCACACCACCCAAGTGGATAAGATCAACCTCAGGAGAGATGGGGAGATATTGCTTCCTTCCTCTCCAGAATTCCCAAACTGAGTATCTATTCTAACACCGGAACAATTTGCATAAAGCCACCCCGCATAACTGTCCACACACAAAACCTCCCCCTAGCAGGACCAATACGCTGCCCTACCACCGCCTTCCATCCAGGGGTGGACATCTGTGTAACCTCTCTGGAGCCTTTTAAAAACAGAGCCACCTCCCCCTAATAAAGGTGTAAAACAAAATCATTTGGCAATCAGACAGACGAAGGGTGGGGGAGGAAGGTGGAAGTGTCCAAATCATGCTGCCACCCCTTCAAAGATCGCCTTAAAGAGATCCCAAGTTCGCTGAGATGACATGACCGGAGCATCTCGCCGCCTTCTCACGTCTCCCAGCGAACGACTATTGCGATCGCAGTTTCTCCCTTGCAATTTTGCACGAAGGCTGCGCGTTCTCCTGCTCCTTTACGCGTAAGAGAAGATTGCACTTACCCTCCCACGTTTTCCCTCCTTTCCCTCCACTCGCCAGGCGCGCTCCCGCGATCTTCTCCACCGTCCGCCGCCCACTCGCCAGACGGCTTTCATTCATAAGACGCGCCGCGCCGCAGAGCCGGACTTGCCGAAGGGGGGCGGCTGCAGCCTTGCCGCCTTCCACCGCGCAGCCAACGCCGGCGCCTCCGAGGCGGTTAGAGCTTCCTGCGGCATTTTCTCAGCTGCCCTCTAGTGGAAGTCCGGATATTGCAGCCCAGATCCGGTGGGCAAACAATAGAAGAAGCTGTAAAAGTTGTAACCCAAAATAAAGACGAGAGGTCCAGCAATTGGCCTTAGACTTTTTTTTTTTTAATTTGATTTATATGCCGCCCTTCTCCGGAGACTCAGGGCGGCTTACAATGTGCTAAGCAATAGCCTTCATCCTTTTTTTGTATATTTATACAAAGTCAGCTTATTGCCCCCACAAACTGGGTCCTCAATTTACCTACCTTAGAAAAGGATGGAAGGCTGAGTCAACCTTGAGCCTTGGCTGGATTCGAACCTGCAGTAATTGCAGGCAGCTGGTCTTAATAACAGGGTGCTTTATACCACTGTACTACCAAGGCTCTTATTAGACTTGGCAATTAAGATAATGAAATGATAGATAGAGTCCATCCACTTTGCTGCTGGTCATCCTTTTTTTTTTTCCTTCCACCTTTTCCGGGATTATGGACTTCTCAAAGCAGCCTTGTCTTCTCATAATGTGCCCAAAAGATAATACTTTTGAGCCTTGTCGTTTTTTTTGCCTCGAGGGAGAATTCTGGATTGCTTCGTTCTGTGATCCATTTGTTTTCTTGTCAGTTTCTGAAGTCTTTTCCAACACAAGTAAGAAAGCCTCATCCTCTATCATGCTTTTTCAAAGTCCCATTTTTGCTACCATGGGGTCACAGAAATAAACATTGTCCACACAATTCTAATCTTCGTAGGTATGGAGACATCACAGCATCTGGTGCCGGTCTATGACTTATTTCTCGCCTGCCAATTCTAACAGGCAAAAGCTATCTGTCATTTCAGTAACTTGCAGTCTCATATTGGTCATCATATTTATTGTCATTATTTTGGGCTATATATTTAAGCTTACATCTTTTTTTCCAATTTTCATTATTAGAGCTTGCAGGCCACTTGCATTCTCAGCTATCAGTAGTGTCATCAACATAGTACAGGTTATTGAACTTTCTTCCTCCAGTTTTAAAACCACACTCAATTTATTCCAGCCACACTTCCCTCAATATATATTCAGCACATAAACTGAATAAATAAGGGGAGTTACAGAAACATGAAGTGATAGTATCAGTATAATGTATTGTTGCTTTGGCTAACATGGTTAGTATATAATGAGACACCCAGAACTGATCCAAATCCAATTTTTTAGTCTTTTGAATGTCTCATGGAATTTTGCAGATGTTAATACCCTTTTGCAGCTGCAAGACATCACTTTAATATAATTCAACTATTTAAGATGGAGGAAAAAGGAAATGCAATACTGGAAACTATATAAAAATAAAATAATGTATGTACAAGCTTGTTCCCCCTTTGCTGTACAGCATTGTGGAGAGCTGTACATCTTTTTTCTTTTTTCTAAGTAATGATCTCACTTTGATTTTTCTATTCCACTGAAGGAGGAATTGTATCCACATCCTTTATAATTCTGGAATAAGCAGGTAATTTTCCAGTGGTTTGCTCCACTTGTCTATGTTACTATGACAACAGGAGACTCCAGAGCAAGTTTGCACTTACTCTTCAAAGGGAAAAAAAGATCTATGTTGGGAATGATACAGTGATAATATAAGTTGATGTTGAGGGGGGGGGAAATGCAAGTTTCCAGCTATTTGAGAATACTGCCAGCAAGGCACAAACACAAAGTTATTATTCTCATCTGGTTCCTAATTCTCAGAATCAGGTACCTAAGACAGGGTCTTCCTGAATGTAAAAAGTTATTTTGGTTATTATTTCAGGCAAGCAAACCCATGTTCATGAATTTATCTAATGCCCTTCTACAGCTTTTGTGTGTTATCACAGTACTGTGTGGCAATTAAATTCAACAGTTAAGATGTATAAATAGTGTATCTTCATTTAATACCTTCTCTATTAAATTTAGCTACATTCTCTAAATTGTTTATAATATTACAATCAAAAATGTTCTATTCATTGGTGCCCACAGCATTGCTATTTTAAATTGTCAAGTAATAACACAAACTTTTTTTTTTGCATTTGCTTTAATGTAAGTATTACTGAGAATGAATAAAATTCTACAACCATCCCTGGATGTCCCATTTTTTGTATCCCAAACCTTTGTATCCAATTAACAGTTTTCTCAAAAATAAGGTCTAAGAATTCCCCTTTTAGATAAGGAGAGCTCCATTTTAAGTTAACGGGACTACACACATTTTAAAGTTATTGCTAATCTTTTTTGCACTCAACCTCTCCTAACTTGAAAATACACAGCAACTTTTCCCCCCCTTAATTTTCTATTATATTTTTGTGTATACATTCTGTTTGACTGTAATGTTTTTTCCATCTGGAGCAAACTTAAGTTTCTTAAAACATGTCTTTGTTTCTCTCAAGTCAGAGAATATTAATGTGTTTAACTATTACCATTTTCTATCAGTGAAAAGGATGAGATACTGTGGGGACCATTTTTGCCCTTTTCTTTCTTTCTCTCTTCCCCCTTGTATCTCACACTCCCTTTCCTTTTCCCTCCCTTAATTTCCCATTTACTTTTCTTCTTTGTATTTTATATATATATATATATATTTAAAATGATATTGTGGGGATCATTTTGTTACACTCATTGCTAGTTGAGGAGAGAGGTTCCTAAATTTTTTGCTATCACACCACCCTTTAGTTCAGGGATGGGCAATTAATTTTCCCAAGGAGACACCTGAGAAACTGGGACAGTTGTGGAGGGCCGAACAAATAGCCTGAAATTAATTCTGCTGTCGGCGCCCATGTACTGAGGGACGAGGGATCGTGGCCTCATTTTAACCCATCAGCTGCTGTTCTGCCACAGATGCAGAAAAAAATTTCTCTCACCAGCTGACTGAACAGCACATTCAGCTTCTTCTCCTGCCCCCTGCGGCATGCTTATTTACATTTTATCTTACTTCCATTTGACCTCATGCGGGCCAGACAGGGATATCCAAAATGCCAGATGTGGCCCAAGGGCCATAAAATTCCCCGATCTGCTGTAGTGTAAACTTAATGGCCACAACTCCTCTAGAAATCCAAACTCCAAAATGAATACAAATGAAAAATGAAAACAATACACTAAACTTTTGAGAAAGCTGAATTTATTATAACAATGCAGCTAAAAGGTGCTTCACACTTTCTCTGGATTCTGTTTGCACCTCCCAAAGGTGCAGCAACAACGGTTAAAAAATACAATTGGACTTTGATAACCTATATATGAAGCCAATTCTTTATTTTGTAATTTGTTCAACACCCTTAATCTTGTAAGAGCCTTTTCATATTAATAGATTTTCTCTGACAATAGAAAAGAGACCAAATATTTTAGTATAATCTGAAAAAACTTTCAATTTTCTTCCTTTTTCAGTCAAGGAAGCTACAGCAACTTGAAACATATCCCAGGTTTCTCCCTCCAGAGAGGAGGGGAACAATCTGGAGGAAGTGGGATCTCAAGGGGAAGGAAGAACCTTGATATGGAATTCAGTAAAAACTGGTTCCCTTTGAGAAATACAACTATAGATTCATTGTGGTTACAGGCATACATTTGCCCATTTTACTGTTGCTAAGTTTTATTCCTAGATATTTCCAATTTTTTAATTATAGCATTAGAATCGGTATTTTATTGACCCTGTTATACATTTTTCCATACTTTGATACAAAACAATCTTAAATATATTTCAGAAAAGAAGGCCAATGTCGTCAAGATGTTAAATTAGAAACAAGATATTGTAGGTTCATGTCCAATTTCAGTCATTTGCAGAGTGGTGGTTGTGGAAAAGTCGAAGAGGGAAACATTGTACACATTGCCTTAAGCTCCTAGAAAAAAGGAGGATATAAATCTAACAAACAAACAATAATAGAGTTTCCTGATCAATATTTCCAGAGCGAACTATTTTAAAATAAATTCTTCAACTTTTCTCCAGAAGACTGACTTTGAAGACTACCTAGCTTCAGAAAGCCATCCTTCCAGAATATGGGATGTCAAGCAATTCTTAATCTCCTAAAGTCAATACAGAAGACTGAAATTTT